TGCCCTCCTAGGTACTCTGAATTTGCTTGTTAAATTGTTCGGTTGGTGTTAGGTTGATGCACAAGTTCTACTTAGAAGGCCTTGATTGTAGCATTATTGAGTATTTTTTTGTATGGGTTTTGTATAATTTTTGCAAGAATATTGATTGTAGTATTAATTGTTCATTTATAGTAAGGGTTTTGTATAATTTTTTATAAGATTATTGATTATATATTTATGAGTATGTTTAAGCATAGGTTTTGTATAAATTTCTCCCAATCATTAACCAGTTAGATTTCATTGTAAATGTCACTAAGTAGATATATATATATATACTAGTATATTAAAATACGTGTAGGGAATATTTCAAACATCAATTTTGAGCCCCATTGTAATCATGAATTTAAGCATGGTGGCGTCCAAAGGGAAAGAAGCTAGAGATAAAAGAGTCGCCAACTACTTTTAGGAACTTGTAAACCGTTCACGGGTGTGAAGGTTACACCTCATTCACGATCATGGAGATCGCTAACTCCATATTGGTCCGGAACCATGACAGGAAATTCAAGGATGATGGTACGAATCCAACCTAAAAGAGATTGAACACGCCCTAAATTGCTCTCTACTTAATTTTTATGATATTCATGTGCGCTTTCCGATCAACATACATACAACAAGTTAATCCTAAACTTGTTTAATCTATGTTGGTTGATTATTAATGCACAAATAAATCTGTTATTGGTGATCACTTGAATTAAAATCATATTAGCCTAAATTATTAATTATCTTATTAGGCATGATTTCAATTACAAATTCCCTTTAAACCTGCAAGAAGGGGCTTGATCAAGCAATAGCAATAAATCATGAATAATCAAGCAATTTATGATTAACACAACAATCATCATCATAATCATCATAACATCATTAAATCATGATTAATAGCAAGATCCTAGACATGATACTAAACGGATTAATAACAAACCCTAGCATGTGACTAAATAAAAATCATAGCTTTAGCCAAATCATGATGCTAGAAAGCATAACGTTAGAAATATTAAAGTAACACCCTAACATGATACTAGGAATAAAAAAGACATCCTAACATGATACTAGCAATCATAAAGACATCCTAACATGATACTAGGAATCAAAATAATATTCTAATTCTATATCAAAATCGAGGAATAAGGATATTAGATCTACTAATTTTGATGCCTTGTACCTTTTTCTATCAAAATAATACACACGTTAGTAACTTCAAGAAAGATTAAATCAAATAAATAAATTAAATAAGAATTAAAATATAGATTTGGGACCAAACCCTCAGAACTATCACCCTTTCACGTTGAGGTCAAAGGTAACTACAAGATTGGCTTGGAGTATTCGAAGCTCGTGAAGGAAGTATAGTGTATGATATCAAGAAGGTGTTGGGATGTGTTTAGGCTAGGCTAAGAAAGAGAGAGAGAGAGAGAGAGAGAAAAGCTTTTAGCTTAGAGAGGGAATTAAATGATGATTGTTGGTGATCAAGCTTGTTGATGATTGAAAACGGGGTGAAACGACCTCTATTATAAAGAAAAAAGAGGGTCGAAGGATTAGAAAAGAGTTAGAATCCGACTCGGAGTCAAACAGGCGCTATCGTGACGCGATATTTCTATCGCTTAACGATATTTTTAGAAGATAGAACCCGTAAGGAATTCGATTTCCAATCAAATTGGGTTAATCGAATATCTATACGTATTCTAATTTTATCAGAATTAAAATCATTGAAAAACAAGTGTTTTATCTGATGTAAAATTCGTAAGTCTTTATCTTTTCAAAAACAGGATAAACTAGAACCTTCTAGAAAATTCCAGAAGCTAATAATAAATCCTAAAGGATTTAGGATTGAAAACAATCTTCTAAAGTATTCTAGAAGCTCATAATAAATCCTAATTGGTTTAGGAATGATGTTAAGGTTAATGGACCCTCCACATGGTCATTGGGTTGTAGGTAAGGCTCGGTTTAGTATTTTGGCCATAACTTCTTTATTATAATTCGGATTTGGGCTTATAACATATCGTTGGAAAGCTCTTTTCAAGCCCATCCAAATACACAATAATTGGACTAGGAATATGGGCCAAAATAATTAGGTTAGGACCTTTTTATAATGAGGACACTAAATGAATGATTTTAAGGACACGAAATGAATGATTTTGGGTTTTAAAGTCACGAAATAAATGATTTTGGATTAAAACACTTAAGGAAAGGTTATAAATGGTCAAGGTTTAAGGGAGCTTCACGAGACTATTCAACTCTTCCCCTAACTCGATAATCAAAGACGTGAAAAGGTACTCATCACTAGGTTTGGTTTTTGGGGAGACACAATCAGGTATCTACTGAAGTCCCCACTTCGACTGAGTTTGGAGAAATGTAAGTTTCGAAAACAAAGGTCAAAGCAGATCGATAGGGACAGAGAATAATTCAGAACGTTCTGCGATCCTAAATCATCCTCTTTAAGGCCGGTACTTGCAGAATATCGTCAGTTCTAAAAATAAAGGAGTTATGTAAAAGAAACGCGTATCTAGGCTTGCTGAGCACACGTCTCTAGGTGACATCTCGTCAGATCAAATTGGTTTTGTTTGACAACTTTCACATTCTCAAGGAGCGCCGTCGATTTGAAATGTGTCCACGCGTCTCTAAACAAGAGCTTAGTCAAGAAATGTTCACTCGTCTCTAAATAAGAGCTTACTTAAGGTATGTTACTCGTCTCCAAACAAGGGAGCTTTTGGATGAATTGTTCACTCGTCTTTGAACAAGGGAGTCTTGGAAGGGAAATGTCTACGCGTTTCTAAACAAGGGAGTCCATGGAAGGGAAATGTCCACGCATCTCTGAACAAAAGAGCTTGAAAGGAATGTCCACGCGTCTCTGAATAAAAGAGCTTTAAGGGAATGCCCACGCGTCTCTGAGCAAAAGAGCTTTGAAAAGAATGTCCATGCATCTCTGAACAAAAGAGCTTTGAAAGGAATGCCCACTCGTCTTTTAGAAAAAGAGCTTTGAAGGAATGCCCACGCGTCTCTGAGCAAAAGAGCTTTGAAAAGAATGTCCACGCGTCTCTAAACAAAAGAACTTTGAAAGAAATGCCCGCGCGTCACTGAGCAAAAGAGCTTTGATTGAAATGTCCACGCATATCTGAACACAAGAGCTTTAAAAGAAATGTACACGTGTCTCTGAACAAAAGATCTTGAAAGGAATGCCCACGCCTCTCTGAGCAAAAGAGTTTTGAAAAGAATGTCCACGCGTCTCTAAACAAAAGAGCTTTGAAGGGTAAATGGTGACAATGGTAGATTGGCTGCAAACAAGAGCTTTAATGATTTGGTGAGATTGCTTGATTGACTCTAAACAGAAGCTTCGATGAGTTGTTGTACCCTGTAAAATCAAATATTGCCAATGGACTTTGCTAGTTTTCTTGGGGTTGACCCGGGACTCATTTTGTGACCTAATGTGATTAAAACATTTCGATGTGTTTTGACACGTGTGTGCAGACTCAACTCGATGTGACTTGACTTGACATGACTCTATGTGTATGTCGTGCGTACGACTCATGTGTGTAAACTCAACTCGATAAGATGATATTACATGACTCAATGTACATGACTTGTGTGTGCATTGTATTGTGATTGTGCTCGTGCACTCGAAAATGCAAAAAAAAAAAAAAAAAGCAAGAATGTTTAGTCATTTTTGTGGAGGGTACCGACTTTCTCTTGAAAAGAAAGACGTGAAAAGGAAAAAAGGTAAAGTGTTGGTGAAAGATGAAGTTTTTGAACTTCCTCAAAAGGAAAAAAGATGAAAAGAATGAATCGAGTGATGATGCATGTTGAATGAGCTTAATCAAGTGTATGCATTGATGTTGTATCTCATGGTGCAAGGATTGTAGCATCCTAGGCTATCTTAATTGATGAAAGTATTTGGGTAACTTAGGCGTGGAGGCTAAGTACTTCATAATTTGTGATGCAATGATGATTATGAGTGTGTGATTCTAAGATGACAAAGCATGCTTCAAAGTTGTATCAAGATTTCATGACAAAGGGTTCCTAAGGGAAGGATTATTTGGCAATGTAATTGTGATGCGTGTGAGAGTGACACTAAGGTTAGGGTGCAAAGGCTAAGGGTATGAAAAATAAGTGAGAAGAGTCAAATGGTGACTCTTAGGCTGGGTAGGCTAATGAAATAGGGATCAAGCCCCCAAGTCTAGCTCTAAATGAATAAGGGATGAGCATTGGAAATCCCTTGATATGATCATGCATGAATTTGAATGAATGAATGCATTTTTATCACGGCCGCACCCCAATGTGAGGTTGCCTACGTATCCGTAAGGAATCAGGCCAAACGAAGCTCTAGCCGAATCTCGCACAAGTGTGTGTATACTTCAAGGAAGTCTTTTAAGGGTTGTAACGGGGTTAGGCTAAATGTTGAAGAAGAAGGGATAAAGGCTCAAGATCCTAGATAAGCCCCTAAGGTGTGCAACCTTGCATTTGAATAAATCTTGGTATTTGTATGCTTGAGGTTTCTCACTTTTGAACTTATTTTTCTTTATTATTATTATTATTTTTTTAATTTTCTTTTGTATAAGCGTGGGCAATCTCGATCATGCGGTCTATCACTCATTTTCCATGAGCTTGTTTTAAGCTAGTAATTGTTGGATGAAATTGTTTGTTGTGGTAATGAAGTTCTCCATCATTAGCTCAAGGTTGGATTTTTGCGGAGGTGGTTGCATAGGTTGTTGGACTAGAGGTGGCCTTGCTTGGAAACCAGGTCGTGCATTATAATTGTTGTTTCGAGGTGGTGGTGGGGGTGGATTTTTTTGGGCTTGAGTATTCTTGTAGGAGAAATTTGGATGATGTTTCCACTCTTCATTATATGTGTTTGAATTAGGGTCATATGGCCTTCTGGAATTCGAAGTGTAGAATGCATTGGCCTCCTCGTTCGACATCTCATTCGAGTTTTGTGGACAATTAGGTGCAATGTGACCTTGTACATTACACATTTAACAAGTTTCAGGTGAGCTAGAAGATGATCCAGCTTGGAGCTTGTCGAACTTGCTTGTCAATGCCTGCACAGAACTAGTCAAAAGAGTTAGAGCATCAACATCAAATTTTCCTCCCTTCTTCACACTATTTTGACCTCCTTGATGATAATTGTCATTAGCCGCCATCTTCTCAATTAGCTCCTTCGCCTCAGTTGGGTTCTTAGTCAAGAGAGAACCCCCAGAGCATCAATATAGATTCGGAACTCATGGGTTAGACCATTATAGAAGGTTTGGATCGACATCCATTCAAGAATACCATGGTGAGGGCATTGTCTCTACAATCTCTTGAATCTCCTCCATGCTTCATATAGGGACTCATCATCTGACTTCCTGAAAGTAGATAACTCGTTTCTCAACCTTGTAGTCTTTTCCTGTCCCAAGAACTTGACTAGAAAAGCTTTCGCCAGTTTGTCCCATGTGTCAAATGAGCCAGTACCTTCATCTCTCAACCATTCCTTCGCGCTATCCATTAATGAGAAAGGGAAAAGGCGAAGTCTAATAGCATCATTTGTAACACCATTTAGCTTCATAGTATCGCATTTCTCCAAGAAACTATCAATGTGACTCACTGGGTAATCATGAGGTGTTCCTGCAAACGAATCATTGGAGATGAATTGAATGAACTGTGGTTTCAATTCAAAGTTATGAGCAGTAATGGGTGGTCTGATGATGCTAGAGAGTAGTTCGGTTGTTGTATCAGGAATACCGTACTCCAGAAGAGATTTCGTTCCTAGGTCGTCCATGTTTCTATTGTTTTGATTTCTCCTTCTTCTTCTACCTCTTCGTCTCCTTGCAGTTGCTTCGATTTCAGAATCAAAAGGTGTTAAATTGTCTGACCGTGAACGTTGTGTTTGCGTGAAACAAAGAACTAAAAGCAGAGTATCAAAAACACAAGAGACAATAGCCGAAGCAACAAAAGCTTAGTAGAAACATATCACGAATAATTAGAATGAAACCGTTAGTCCCCGGCAACGGCGCCAAAATTTGATAGGTGTGTCGCGTACCTAAAATAAATAAACCAAACAAGACCACTACTATGTAGATGGGCAAGTAAGGATTAAATCCCAAGAGACTAAGGCTCACCTAATTAATTAGACTCAAGCAATCACTAAGCAAGTAACCAATTCAATGATGAAGAATACTAATAACTAGAATACTAAATAACACAATTAATCTAAAGAAAGTGATGAATCAATGAACTAAACCATCCAAGATCAAACATTACCACGAATATAATCGATGCACTAATAAATCTACCCCCAATAACAAATCAATTGACAAGAGGAAAAACATTCCCTAAACAATACCAAAGGTCTCTTCCGAGTTATCAATGGCTTCCCAAATCAACTATCAAGCCTATTTCCATGGAATCAAGCAAATGAGGGAAATTAACCACAATACTTAACTTCCTAATCATCTAATCATCTACTTCCGTGATGAACTTCAAACCCTTAATTGAAAGGAAAAATTCATGGGAATAATCCCACCTTTAGGCCATTCGTTTTTAATAATCCCACCTTTAGATTATTTTTTAATAATCCGACCTTTACCTCCCATTCTTTTTTATTGGTCCCAACCGGTCATGTAACCTGTTATAACAGGTTACATGACACGTGGCAGCCTGTCATTGGTCCAAAAAAAGTTAAAAAAAAAATTGAGAAAAAAAAAAAAAAACTGCTCCACTTTCAGCCACCCAGATCGAGCCAATTACCACCAATTAGATGCAACAACCGCAGGCTGCAGCCCTTAATCTCCTCACCACCGATCGGTAGCCACAAACCAACCACCATCATCACTACTCCCCTGCCGCACCTACCAGCCCAAACTGCCCAGCAACCACCTGACCACCACCTTTAAACACCCCTCGCAACCACCTGCATAATCAATCAAAAGCAAAGCAGCCACCTGCCACACATCGAACCACCTACTTCCCCTCCTTGTCCTCCGTAACCACCATCCCCAACCACCCCGAAATCAACCCCCTCCCTCCCCCTCCTCTTCCTTATCCTTGAAACCCCCTTCTCTAGCCTCGAATCCCAATCCCGTCCTCTCCCCTTCTCTAGCTTCAACACCAACACCACCTCTTTTGGGGTTTTCGGGGCTTGGGAAATGGAGAGGGTAGGGTTTCGGTGCTTGGGAAGATGAGAGGGGCGGTTTTCAGGCCATTCCGGTGGTGGGTTAGGTGGGTAGGGCTAGTTCGTGGGTAGGGCAGCCGAATTGCAGCAGGGGATTGGTGTTCGGAAAAGGGAGGAGTAAGTGAACGGAGTGCAGGGAAGGGTGGTCGGAATGAGGAAAGGGTGCGGTGAAGGGGGTTGAGCGGCGCCGGCGTTGGCTAGTGGGGTGGTTTTGGGGTTTGGGTCTGGTGGTTCTAGAGTTTGGGTTTGGGTTTGGGGTTTTTTTTTTTTTTTTTTTACCAATTAAGTAACGACACGTGTAAATTAATAAAAATAAAAAATTTACCTCCTCAACCGGTTTCAGGTAAAATAGGACCAATAAAAAAGAATAGGGGGGTAAAGGTCGGGTTATTGAAAAATAATCCAAAGGTGGGATTATTCCCATGAATTTTTCCTAATTGAAATACCCAAATCCCGTTAATACCCAACATCTGTTACGATAAGAACAAAGGGATGGTAACAATACTAATTATTCCTAATCTAGCATTGACATAAACGCATTAATTAAGCATGTCAATTGGGATCATTATTGGAGAATTTAAAGATTCAATTCATGTATCAATCATATTCGGGTTTTGCAAGATCCCGGATTATGGATCTACTCACACATATTTATGAAAACAAAAACAAGATTCAATGGAGAAAACATAATTAATAAGCAATAAAAAGGTAAAGGAAAGAGAGTAGATGAATACTAATTACTTCAATTTAAAAAGCTCGAATTGTTGATGAACAATAGTGCCAAAATAAAGAATAGAAATCAAACTATGTAGATGGAGAAAACTAGGGTTTTAAAAAAGTTCTAATATTAGGAAAATAAAAGTTGTCCCTCTAATTATGATTACAATGGGTATTTATACCCCTAAGAAAGATACAATCCGAAAATAATTTAAAACGGATGTTGCGGAGTTGTGCTCGGTCTGCCCGCGCAGATATGCATGGTCAGGCAAACGGGATAATTCTCCAACTTCGCAATCTTCTTCCTCTGCCCGGTCTGCCCGGGCTTTGCATACCCGGTCAGGCGCGCGTAACAACGTCAAAATGGAAAAGCTTTGCACTGCATTCCTCACAGCCCGGTCTGCCGGGCTTTGCATGCCCGGTCGGGCATACGGGACTTTTGATGATTCTTCATAGTTAACTTATTCTTTCTTCGCCCCAGCAACAAGGGCATGGGGTGCCCGGTAGGGCATTGGGGGATTTTCCTTCTCTCACTCAACAACCTCTTAATTGACCATCCAAAACAAGTCCGAAACATCCAAGAAATCTCCGTATCCCTATGAAACTCATTCAAATAGATGAAACACACTATAGAAGAGATTGTTAGCGAGAAATAGCTCCGTAGAGCTCAAAACCATGCAAAATACGCTATGAAATCGGGATAAAACATGGTATGGAATGCATATATCACTATCTTAACTGCTATATACCCTACTTTTCCCTTCTTATTCTTTTAGAAACAATCTCTTGAACTATGATAATATTATCAATGATTTTTCTTTTAGAAACAAAACTACACTAAGTAGGGGAGATAAGAGTTGGTAGGATGGGTTTTATCCTATTTTCAATCACCTTAGTTGCCAATTTGTAAAGAATTTTGCAAAGACCAATTGGACAAAATTGGTTAGCTTTCTTAGGCACATCCACCTTAGGAATAAGGACAAGAAATGCATCATGCAATCCGTTTGTGAAATCCCTACCTTCTAGCACATCTTTCACCAACCTAACAACACTTAGATTAACCAAATCCCAAAACCTTTTATAAAACAAAGTTGAAATCCATCCAGCTCCGACGCTTTATATGGTTTCATACTCTTCAAGGCTGCATATATTTCACAAGAACCAAATGACCTCAAAATAAATTTTCTCCAACTCATCAGCTGCAATTTGCGGGAAATAATCAGATAAAATAAGTTGCTGCCTTACACTCAAACTTCCTTCCTCAGTAAACAAAATTTTCCAGTAATGAGGCACCAAGTCTTTAACTTCCTGCTCACTAGAGGTACATACTCCTTGCGAATTTTTCAGCTCGTTAATTCTATTCCGCTTTCTTCTTATGATCGTAGAAAGATGGAAAAAGTAAGTATTACGATCCCCATCACAAATGGAATCCAATCATCTATACACAATGTTTGAAACCATAACATTTGTTCATCATTTAGCACTTCATCCATCTCCCTCCTCAATCTTGCTTCTAATTTCACTAAGTGTCGTTGCTTACCCATAGATAACTCAGCTTAAATGCCTTCTGATCTTGCTCACAACTCTAATTTTGTTTCTAAAAATATTATAAAATTTCTCCCTATTCCATATTTCCAACTGCTCAGCAACCACTTTAAGATAAGGCATTGTTACACAAAAAAAAAAAAAAAAAAACAGATTTTGACTTTTTGTCTGACTTTCTTGACTTTGCAGAGTTAAGAGGTTTATAGAGTCAATGAAAGGCCTTTAGGTTGAATTGGTTAAAACATAACAGCAACTGGGTTAATATCACGTAAAGGCCCAATAACATATAGGCTAGATTAGAAGGCTAATGGATGATTTTAATTTTCAAAGAAGTGTTGGCGCCAAGAAGCATAACCGTACAACAATTATGGGATTCATCCATAACCGTTCCATTTTGCTTATAAATACAAGTGCAAGAATCGAAAGGAGATATCAACAAATCAATGAACAACAAGCATTTCATTTCTTTTAAGCTTTCTTCTTAGATTTCGTAATTTCCCTCATCTTAGTAGCTAAGCGATAGTTTAGTTTATCACGTAGCATGTATTGAAGATTGTTCGTCTTTTACAATTGTATGATCATGGAGATAACCTCTTCTTGAACTTGTACAATTGTAGACCTGACTCTATCCCTTAACAAATGGAGTGCATTTGTATCTTTTGTCATAAATTTATCTACTCGTTTCTTTAAGCAATCTAACTTGTTTTACTTCTTTTGGGAAAGCTTCCTTATTGTTTTGTTTTACATTAGCAAGGTTATCAATCTTTGAAACTGGTAACTCAAGGGCCAACCCCTTAACTCTAGAACAAGATAAATAGTTGGTAAAGAACAATATTTACCTCAACAAGTTTTATGGCGACCATAGTGGGAGAACACTAAACTAAATCCATTTAACTTTGTTAATTTGGAGGTTTTTTTCCCATGGCTCCTAAGCGTTCACCGAGTAAAGGAAACACTAAGGAAGATGTTAATTCATCTGAACACAATCCTGAGACTATTTTAGAGGATCAACCAGGTCTAGAAAATCAACTGCCAATAGAACACATGGCACACTCTTTCGAAATATTCGAGCCTCATACACAAAGGCAAGATGAATCGGTTTTAGAAGGAGTAGAGGGCCAGTCTCCCACCAGACACTTACTCAACACAATTTACACTAAATATGTGGAAATCGTGAGGATTCTGATGGAGGATCTAAAAGAAAATAATAGAGAGCAGTTTGATAACTACTATCGCGTCATGAAGAAACCGCCAGAGTGGTAATGGTCGAGTTGAGGAACTTTGACTTTATTACCCAACAAGCGGTTACCAGGCAGGTAGATAGGATTATTCTAAATATTAATGAT